ATAGAATTTGCAGCCTCCGAAGCAGAAGCCCTGTCCGAAAGAGCAGCTCTCCTTCAGAATTATCTCCTTGGACGTGTGTATGTGCCAACCATCTCTGTAGAGGGATGTTTAGTCTGTCATTGTAGGGTTGGTGATTTCTCCTTAATTTTATTTCCAGCCTGACTTAAAATTTAACGCCTTGTTGTTTCATAATCATTTATGTTTTTGTAGCTGGTGTGTCCAAGAGAATATAACTGAGTCTCTGTGATATCCTGCTTATAGGATTTGGTCTCTGTAGTCCCCTTTCCCTTCTGGGAGATATCTTGTATTTGATCTCATTCTCCTAAGTTGGTTGTGTATTCTGCTCTGCTCTGTGACAGATCTTCTTGCACCCAAATTAAAGGCAGAGCCTAGAGTCCTTGCTTCTGCCTGGGTTGGCCTCCAGAGTCCTGCCTCGCTTTCTCCAGCAGTCGCTCTCACTCTTACAGCACTGGAACGGAGTCCAAGGTGGAGACTTGCTTTGAAGATGACGTTTGTAGAATAATTAGTGGGCTACTGTGGGAGCTGGGGCTCATACACCGTGAAGCAGAGTAAGAGATTGGGCAATCTGGGCCCCCAAAGCTATGGCCCTTCATGTACATGTTTCATACTGGCTCCCTAATCCTTTGTCTTCAGTTACTTTGACTTCCAGGTGGAGATAATTAACTCTCCTTTTAAACTTTGTACTGAGGAAATCTGACATGAAGAGTCTACTCTTCAGGGACATTTTATTTCCCTCTTCTGCCTGCAGAGACGATAGGAAGAAGCTAAGAAGTTAAATCGTTGTCCAAATATTTTCTAGCTTGTCAGCCTTCTTCAAGTCAGCCTTCTTCTTTTCTTTTTCTAAATTGGGAGGAATTATTTTAAAGTCATGGGTTTTAGCTATAGGAGGAGATCTTTAAATTTATAGCTACAGCATTTCTTAAGCAGTTTGTAAGTTACACAGATTCTGTATTGTTGTTGTTCACCAACGAGGTGCTGATGGTTACTTTTTTGAGAAAAATTGCAAGTCCTGATATACCCAAGCACATGTAACTATCTGTAGAGAAATCTAGCTACATACCCTGTATTTCTTAATTCTCATCTCACTAAGCTTTTTATTATATACCATTCTCTCTTGTTTACCAAGAGAATAAAAGCATATAATGACGTAAAACCTTTTCTTTTCTTTTTTGGGTAGTTTGGCTTGATGATAACTTAAGTCAACTAATAAATATTTGAGCTAATTAAAAAAAATCATTTTATTGGGGGCTTGTACAACTATCACAATCCACCCATCCATCCACTGTGTCAAGCACTTGAGACCTTAGTATCGGCTCCTCATTTCCACCACCTCTCCCTCCCTCATGAACACTTGATAATTTATAAATTTTTTTTCATGTCTGACATTGACTGATGTCTCCCTTCACCCACTTTTCTGTTGTCTGTCCCTCTGGGAGGGGGTCATATGTTGATCATTGTAATCAGTTCACCCTTTCTCCTCCCACCTTCCTCTTCCCCTCCTGGTATCACAATTCTCATTATTGGTTCTGCAGGGTTTATCTGTCCCAGATTCCCTGTGTTTCCAGCTCTTATCTGTACCCTGGTCTAGCCAGATTTATAAGGTAGAGTTGGGGGTCATGATAATGGGGGGGAGAAAACATTAAAGAACTACAGGAAAGTTGTATGTTTTATCGGTGCTATATTGCACCCTGACTGGCATTTGAGCTAATTTTTAAAAGAACTTTATAAACAATTGAATGCACTGTAGCCAGTTAATTAAGATTTGGTTTGCAGGTACATATTGTTATAAATTGAGATCTTCTTCTTCCTCTTCTTTTCTTAATGAAAGAGCACAGGGGGGGTTTCAGGAAACTTCAAAGGCATATTCAACCATCAGTGTGCAATTATTGCACTTAGTGTCTTGTTCTTCATGAGGAAAATCTTCCCTTTTTAAATCTCCTGTCACTTTCCAAATCAGTATGTTTGAGAATCTCCCAATCAAAGAAAAGTGTGGTTCTTTGAGTCTCTCAGCTGCTCTCTTTGTAACTATGGAAACCAAGGCCAACTGTTTGCAATGACACGTTTCTCAAGCTGCATTTCATTCTCATTATCCATTTTTCCTAGAATTCATACATTCATCAGATGTCTAATATAAATAATAGGGCCTTTCTATATAGTTTATTGATTTGTATATTATTATTTGTAGCTATTCCCATTTTGAGCAGTTGCATGAAAAGGCCATTAATCTGACCTTGAGGCTGGGAACACTTACCCACCACCACCCAGAACCCACTGCTGTCAAGTTTGATTCTGACTTACAGTGGCCCTGCAGAGAGTTTCTAAGGGTATCTCTCATTAAGGGTGCAGACACCCTCATCTTTCTCTAGCAGACTTTGAACCACCAACCTTGAAGTAAGCTGTGAAATGTTTACCCAAAAGAACCACCGAGTAGCTTAAGTTTACCTGTCATTTTTGTTATGGTTCATATACAACAGCTTGGTTCTTAACTATTGCATGCCATAAACTATAAATATTATTATTGGTATTCAATATTTATAATTAAGCTCTTGGCATCACATGGAAAATAAACAACAGAAGGAATATTATAGAAACCTTGAAAACATAAAAAAAGCAATGCATGTATTTATGTATATTAAAGTGATGAGAAAAAGTATAATTGACTTAAAGAGATCATATAATATAGTTCAGTCTATTGTTTTTGTTAAAATTGGTAAATCATGAATCTGAGGTATAAATATAATTTTGGAATCATCTTTTGAATATGCCTGGATTTTGTATTATTTCTATATTTGAATATTCTTAGAATTTTTTGATATACAGACAAGGGGGTGCTTTGTAGTGCATTTAAAAGAAAGTAGAAGTTGGAAATGAGACTCCATCTAAACTTTTGTGCGGCTTGACATTTATGTTTTAAGCACTGAGCACTTTAAATAGGCTTCAAATCAAGGATTTTATTGCTTTGAGGTTTATAGGTTATGTTTTTTCACAGTGCAAAGGAAAGTCAAAGGATTATTATTTCTTTTATGTTGGAGATGAATGTAAGCTGATTTTCTAGGAAGGTCCGATTCTACATAAATATTCCTCATCTGTACAGAGTGCCACATCATTTCCATTTTCCTATTAGAAATAATGTGACTCGGGCTTCCGCAGGGGGGCTAAGGTCCTGAATCTGGAGCTGAAACACCTGGAGGGGCTCACCTGAAATATAGATCTGTGTGCACAGGGGAAGCCCCACCCCAGCAATAAAGATGCTGGTAGGAAATGGGTAACACACCCAAAATAGAATAATTTCAGGAATATTTCTTAATGAAGGGTTTTTTATAAATATGTGGATGAGGTTACCCAAAGTGACTATATCTCAGTCCACTACTCACAGCAGCAAAGGGACAAAGCTATAACTGGACCTTTAACTAGACTTCTCAGGAGAGAGACTTGCATGGAGTTGCTACCGTAGGAGACAGGGAGACAGCTTCTCTGATTTCTCTCTCCCTCTTCTTCTCATCACACAGCCGGGCTCCTCAACAGGAAGCCAAAGGGCATGGACGCTTTGTTTCGCAGAACAAAGAAGAGTGTGTCCTTCAGACTAGGGTAGGGGTAGGCAAAAGGGAACAGGGCCAGCTCTGCCATGGAATCGCCACCTCAGGAACCGCTACCTCAAGATCCACATCCACATTTGTTAAAGCTGAGACGATTTCTTAAACTGCTGTAATAAATGCGCAAACCTCTGATGTTTGTGGGGTCACTGAGTAACACACACAGTCGATGGGTAGCTGCAAATCGGACCGTATGGAAGTTATTGTTCACCAAGAAGCACCTTGGATCAAAGTCCTGACAAGCTACTTCTGAAAACATCAGCCACTGAGACCCCTCTGAAGCACAGGTCAACATGGACTCCTCTGGGCACCAGGAGACAGCTCAGTGGAAACCGGGTTTGGGTTCTATTCTGTCTAGACTGTGGCACTTTTAGACTTGACAATCCTACGCACTGCACAACATGTAAAGCTATAGGTAGCAGCCTCATGTTGCTGTTAGGTGTCACTGCGTCTGTTCAGATTGACAGAGACCCTGTCTATGTACAACAGCGAGAAACACTGCCAGGGCCTGTGGCAACCTCCCACTTGTTCCTGTGCCCCAGCCCATTGTTGCAGCCACTATGCCATTCCATCTTCCTTCCTCTTTTTTTGCTGACCACAGACTCTGGGCAGCCTGCCTCCCTCCCTCCAATCCTGGCTTCCTTTTTTTGGATTTTTTTCTCAACAGTTTTATTGGCATGTAAATCACATATCATACAACTCAACCACATCAAGAAGACTTGTGCAATCATCAACACAATCAGTTTCAGAACTTTTTCTTCACTTTTGTACTCCCGGTTATTAGCACCCCATTCCTCCCCCAACTTCCTCTGCCAAATCCACAAGGAACCATTCATCCAGTTTCTGTTTCTACAGATTTATCAATTCTGGATTTTACATACAGAAAAAACATTTAAAAAAAAACCCCAGAATACCAAAGTACAACAGATAAAAACCTCAATAAAAAGAAAGAAAATATTAAAAACCAGAACAAACTTCAATCATATAGGTTATCAGATGATAGAATGCTAAACTTTAACCTAACTAGCCAACAACCCACATCCCAGTACATTCTGCTTGATAGCAAGACAGTTCATAGCCATGGTCCATTAAGGAGAGATTCACAGGGGTTTAAGTCACCTGTGCTTGACCTTCAAGAAAAGAAACAAAAAAAACGGAAACAGCTTTAAGATTGGTCAAAAGGGAGGTCAAATGACTAGATTTCCTTCCTTCCCTCTCCTTTCCTCTTCTCTTCTCTCCCCCCTCCCCTCTCCTCCCTGTCCCTCCCCTCCTCTCTTCTTTCTCTTTCCGTTCTCAATGACAGTGAGTCGTTATTGAGGGCCCAGGGCCATCGGGCTCAGGAGAAGGCCACCAGCGGGAGGCAGGGCAGCCAGCAGAGAGAGGCCCTCATTTAACCTCCTTCTTGGGCCTCGGGCTGTTGGTGTGGCGGCACTTCCTGCGGCAGTTACCGCGCAGGGTGGAGGTGAGCTTCGCATTGGCTGCAGACCATCTTGTCGCACTTGGACTTCGGGGCCAGCGGGCGCAGGGAGGGCGCCATGATGCCCCAGCGCAGACGCAGCACCAGGTGCAGGGTGGACCTCTGGACGGGGTAGTCGGAGTGCGGCCGTCCTCTCTCTGTTTACTAGCAAAAGTCAACCGCTGCTGGTGCAGGGGGATGCTCTCTTTGACTTGGATTGTAGCTTGGACATTCTGGATGGTGCCCCCGGCTCCACCGCGAGGGAGGTGGTCTTGTCCGCCAGAGATCTGCATGTCTGCCTTGGCTGCTCAGGCCGCCTTGCTGAAGACAAATTGGGCAGCAGAACTGGAAAACTGCCTGACTTGCTTTCTTCGTGAGTAATGCTCTTAAAGTCTTCCTGCAACTCTCAGGTCTTCTGTCATTCGTGTTTGGTCAATACATTGAGCACTGTTCTTAGGCTGTACTCAGAATTCAGGTGGGGTAGGCTTAAGGTTGTATTTTGGCTCTGTGGTCTGCCTTTAATTTTCTTCAGCTTTAACCTCCTGAACTTACATAGTAGCAATCGGTGGTCTGTTCCACAGCAAGTCCCTGGCTTGGTTTTGGCTGCTGATATACAGCATCTCATCACCTCTTCCCACAGATGTAGTAACTCTGATTTCTGTATATTGAGTCAGTAGAAGTGCACATGTAAACTCATCATTTATGTTGTTGAAAAGGTATTTGCTATGAACAAGTCATTGGTTTTGAAAAATTCCATCATGAGACGTTCAGCTGTGTTTCTATCACCAAGTCCAATTTTTCAACTACTGACTTTCCTCTTTCATTCCAACTCTTGCATTCCATAACCAATAATTATTGATGCATCTTGATTACATTTTTGGTTAATTTCATACTGAAGATGTTGGTAGAATTCTTCAGTTTCTTCATCACTAGCTTTTGTGGTTGGTGCATAAATGTGAATAACACTCAATATTGACTTGATTTACTTGAAGGGGGATAGATCTAATCCTATTACAGACAGCATTGTACTTTGAGATTGATTTTGAAATGTCCCCTTTGACAATGAAGGAAAGTCTTCCCTCTCTATTGTGCCATTCCGGCAGAGTAAATCTTGATTTTCTGATCAAAATGGGTACTATGAGTCCGTTTCTACTCATCTAGGATACTAGGATATCAATTTCCATGTGTTCCGTTTCATTTTTGACAACTTCCAATTTTCCTAGATTTGTACTTCACACATTCCAAGGTTTGATCATTAGCAGATTTTTGCAGCTATTTCTCTTACCTTGAGTCATGCCTCATCAGCAGATGAAGATCCAAACGGCTCCATTCAAGTCTTCGTAGTTGACTGCACTCTGAGAAAACAGCTCTTCTTCAGTCGCATTTTGGGTGTCTTCTGACCAGAGAGGCCCAGCCTCCAGCATTATTTCACATGATGTGCTGCTTCCAGTCATTAGGTCTTCGTATCTGACAGCGTTTGGAAGCTCTGCATAAGGTCTCAGCTACTACTTACTCCAGAGTGGGAAGCCGATCCCTTCTTTGTGGTCCTTTCTTAGCCTGAACGCTCCACTGAAATCTGTTCATTCTGAGTCTCCCGTGGGATACCAGTGCCCTAGCTTCCAGTAGCACAGTAACACACATGCCACTACTGTTAAACAGACTGACAGACAAGTGGGGTGGAGCAGTCTGATAGCTGAGCAAAGAGTCGGAATGAGGAAGTTGGCCTGAGTCCATATACAGTGTCCTTTACTTATAATGTCATCCTAATTAGAATGGAGATTCTATGGCTTTAAATATCATGGCATAAATGAGCACATTAATAGAATTCATAAGCTACATGTGGAGCTCACAAAGATGCTGTAGGTACTAAAATTCCATAATTGGCTAATTCCTTTGAATTCCATTTTCTATAGTTCTTGTTTAGAATACATGTATTCGACCCTTGTTAAAAAATACTAAGCATTCTTATTATAAGAATAGTTACAGGAATAGTTACTTCATATTTTTAAAAAATTGATATTTTTGTTCATTTGAGGAAAAAGTGCTTGCAGGGGTAAAAGGAGGACAGAAAGTTTAAATGTACTTAGTATCTTTTGAGAGGAAAATATATAAATTAAGGTGCTTCAAAATTTTTTTCTCTTTAAATATATACAATTTATTTTGTCAATTAATTATACCTCATCAAAGCCATTTGTAAAACAAAAAAATTAGGGAATTAAAATAATGGAACATTTCCGAGAACTTTTGAAAAAAAAGATTTAATCTTCGCAATAAACTGTTTAGACCAATAATTTTATCTCTTGTTCACAGATGCTGTTTAAGTTTTCTATGAAATTTCATTATAACGTTGTGTTCTGATTGCTATTCAAACTGAACCAGGGTAAGGAACAGAAGGTAGAGATTTGGGCAGGATATGCACAGCCGTGATGACACCAGACTGCATTTCCTGAACCCTTGCTACTACAGGTGGAAGCTCCCACTCTGGCGAAGTTCCTGAGGGAACCCTTAAAAACTGGAGAGGTACGCAGGAGGAAAAGAATGACCAAGGTCAGCCCTGCTGGCTAGCGGCGTTTCTTCCTCTTAGGAATGTCTAAATCAAATTCTCTTGAGATGTCTTTGTTGTTGAGGTCCAACCCAGAGCGACCCTATGCACAACTTAAAGAAACCCCACCCACCTGGCCTTTACTGCAAAGTGTGGAAACATTGTCAGATACGGAGATACCCTATGTCTTCCCAAAGTAAATCTTTCTCTTGGTAAGACAAGACCTGGAGTTCTGGTACCAGATGAGAGGTCACTAGGGTCATAAGATAGCAATACACAAACTAAAGGACTCCAGTAACGAATGTAGAAATAGGTCTTGAGAGACCTTTGTGTTCCCAGGAGAGACCTGTCGGCCTTCGCAGCGAGTGAAGACCCGAGGACTGTAGCGTGACTCAGTAGATAAGACTGCAGACTCCCTCTTTCCAACTTTCCAACAAAATATTGGATTCCATGTGCTCTAATTTTTTTATTAAAAATAATCTCAGAAAGTCTAAAAAAATCACCAATGAGTTTCTTTGTATTAAAATTACCTTTGCAATATTATTGGCATAAAGCTTTTAAATGACATAGTGTTCATATACTAAGTAGAAATAAAGCTTTAATCAGGTTGCTATACAGTGAAAAACCATTGATACCTATTTTGCTCTGTAAACAAAGACTCATTGACTTAGATAAAGCTAGACAATTCATTAAACAAACATGTGATCAGATACAGGCAGCTCTTTCAGAAAAATGAGCCACAGTAGAAAAAGACTTTCTAGGCCATAGATTATTTTTAATGTTCTCTCTTAACTCTATTAATTGGCCTCTCTCTTTATTTGCTCCCTACAGTTTTAAGAAAATGGTTTTGATAATTTTATTGAATAAACAAATAACCCTAACATGTCATTTTGAACGAGACACTTTTGCCTTCCTTGAATCTAGAAGGTGTCTGTAATTTTGCCCAGGCAGGTATAGGTACAAACTCTGCTCATCCAGTTCCATAGACAGCCTTAAATGACCCTATCACCAAGACAGCTGGATGCATGTCAGAGAATATTAATTCAGAACAGTTTTTGCCTTTTATTTATTATTGATATCGGATTGCTAAAGTATCAGACTGTGGGAAATACTACCAAAGCATTTAGTGTGTTCCACTGCAGCAAAGAAAACAATTCAACAGTCTATTTTAAAGTCAACAACAAAAACCTGAAGTTTGAAAGTTTTAAAAACTTCTTTTTTCTAGCCCCAAAGAAAGAAACATGAGTTTTAATCTAAATCATCCTTGTTCTGATTTACAATTGAATATGTAAGTGTAAAGAGAACACACAGAGTGAAAATTATTTAACATAATTATTTAACTTTGGTAGAAGAACCAGGTGAAACTGTGGCAAGGAAGAATTGTCAATGTTGGGTAGAATTTGTTTGCCTATATGTGTAGAAAGGAAATGCAAGTAAGGGCTATGTAACCGTGCCCCTCCCATCATATATATATATATATATATGTATATATATATATATTTATTGATTGATATATATATAATTCTATTGATATATATATATATATAAATCATTTTATTGGGGGCTCATACAACTCTTAGCACAATCCATACATACGTCCATTGTCTCAAGCACATTTGTACATATATTGACATTATCATTTTCAAAGCATTTCCTTTCTACTTGAGCCCTTGGTATGAGCTCTTCGTTTCCCTCCCTCCCTTCCTCATGAACCCTTGATAATTTAAAAGTTATTATTTTTTCATGTCTTACACTTTCCGATTCTCCCCCCACCCCCTTGTCTGTTGTCCATCCCCCTGGGAGGGGGTTATAGATAGGTCATTGTGATCAGTTCTCCCTTTTTCCACCCACCTTCCCCTTACCCTCTTAATTTGGCCACTCTCAATATTGATCCTAGAGGGTTTACCCGTACTGTATTCCCTGTGTTTCCAGCTCTTATCTGTACCCATGTACATGCTCTGGTGATTTGTAAGGCAGAATTAGGGTCATGATCGTGGGGCGGGGGTGCGGAGGGGAGGAAGCATTAAAGAACCAGAGGAAAGATATATATATATTTCATCGGTGCTACACTTCACCCTGATAGGCCCGTCTTCTTCCCATGACCCTTCTATAAGGGGATGTCCAATTGCTTACAGATTAGCTTTGAGTCTCCACTCCACACTGTCCCTGTCATTCACATTATGCTTTTTTGCTCTGGGTCTTTGATGCCTGATACCTGATCACATCAATACCTCATGATCACACGGGTTGGTGTATTTCTTCCATGTGGGCTTTGTTGTTTCTCAGTTAGATGGCCACTTATTTGGTGTATTTGTTATTAGATCTTCCTGCTTTTGCTTTTATGGCACTGACGGCTTTCTTGTATTCAGCTAACGTTTGATTTTGGTCTTCCCCGTGTTGTATCTTTGATTCCTTTTAAAATGGCTTTTCTCATTCTCGACTTTCTCTTAACAATCTTATTCACATATATGATGCTTCTCTATCAACTACAAAATCCATAATATTAATCCACACTGATTAGAGAGTTAGCCTGCTGTTAATCAAAATACTAGAAATATAATATAATCCAAGATTTAGTTTGGTCAAAACCATAATGTTAACAACCTCCTACCTTGCAGTAAAAATTCCTTCTAGGCTTAATTAATAGGAATGTCCTAATTCAGGAAGGAGGCTATCAAGGCCAGTAAGATAGGTAGCCAGACAGGAAGCATCCCCATTCAGAAGCCCCAGGATGGTGGTCTGCTGAGGCAC